AGTCTATTATACCGGCCCACCCCGCCCTGCCCGAGCCGCCCTCCCGCCCCGCCCCTGCCCGCCCGCCCGCCCCGCCCCGCCCCTGCCCTGCCCCTGCCCCGCCCGCCCCCTGCCCCGCCCCGCCCTGCCCCTGCCCTGCCCTGGCTGCCCCTGCCCCGCCCCGCCCCGCCCCGCCCCGCCCCGCCCCGCCTCGCCCTTAGCTGCAACACCTTGGTACATGTTCATGTCATGCCACTCCATGCAGAGGTTGATGGTAGAGGCACTTAGTCTACGTACACACAGGCATCATGTTACGTACACAGAGGCATTATGTTACGTACACAGAGGCATTATGTTACGTACACAGAGGCATGATACATACACAGAGGCATCATGATACATACACAGGCATTATTATACGTACACAGAGGCCTCATCTCACGTACACAGAGACATCATTATACTGTACATACACAATTGCCACATATCACGTACACAAATGCATCGTGTCACGTACGCACCACGAGACGTACACAAAAACATCACGACGCCTACCTACACGTCAACAACAAATATAACAGTTAAATGCGGGGTATTATGTTCACCGTGATGGAAGGAGAGCGGCCAGTGCGGGGGAGGTGGAGGGGAATTTTTTTGCGTGTCTTCTGAGTTCTTCCCTGTGTTGATATTATGGATCGGTGTTTCTATATTTATCGTGTTGTTTTTCTTTATTGGGGGGGGATATACTGTGTGTTTTTAAGGTGGGTGGTTTCGGGTGGTGGTTAGTGGGTGATTTAATGTATTATTATTATTATTATTATTATTAGTAGTAGTAGTAGTAGTAGTAGTAATGTGATCGGCAGCACTGCCAAAATGACATGTTAAGCATGTACTGCAGGTTCCAGAAAATTTGACAAAAAAAGTAGCTATAGCGCAGGAGGTGGGCGCCTCGAACTGGTTAACTACGTTACCGATAAGGGCAAATGGTTTCAGTCTTAATAAACAAGAATTTACAGATGCCATTGCTCTAAGGTATGGTTGGCCAGTAGAAGGTTTGCCCTCCCAATGCGTGTGTGGCTCTTCCTATGATGACGATTGTTATGTTCTGGATAATAAGTTCAATATACAGGAGCGAACACAAACACCTGTATAGTTTTGTAGGTTCGATTTACTGGATAAGAGATATGTACACAGAGGGAAGTAGTGCTCTCCTCAACCTGGCTGCTTGTCAACTACTATCGACGACGTATGGCAAGTGATACATTAGCAGCTTCCATACGTCGCCAGGCACATTAATTAAGCATGTGGGATATCTTAAATACATTGCCACACACTGCTAGCTAGGCTGAATAAATAGTACATAAATGGAGCACATACATAATATACATACATAATATATAATCCAGCATACATAATATACATACAGCGATCACGCCATGGTCTGCAAGAAGGGGGGCTTCATATGCATGAGGCATGACGAGGGTGGATCTCACAGCAAATATGTTGAAGGAAATTCCCGGGACCTCATGGTAGAACCGACCCTCCTTCCATTGGATGGCGAGATCTTCCAACACAGGACTTCAAACACATCTAACGAAGCCTGTGGAATGCTCGAGGATTCTGGACGCCGGTTGTTTTCGACATCAGGATTTTGATCCCGTGGCCGCATGTCACCGTAACCTAGCTCTGATGCTGCCATAGGAGGAACGAACGACAAGAGAAGGCATATGGGAGAGAATTCAAACGTTGACTCAAGCAGCTTTACCTCTAGTGTTCACAACCTCTGGTGGGATGGGCCCAAGTGCAAGATGTTTCTACGCCATCGGGGAGTTGATCTCCGAACAGAAGCAGCAGCCCGAAGTTATGTTACAGCTTGGATGAGATGTCGACTGTCCTTCTTCCTTCGGTCGGCTTTGCTCTGCCTCAGGGGAACGAGAGCTTGCCCCTACTCCGACAACTGCTGCAGATATTGACTATGAGGCTACAGTCACTGAATGCCGCATAGATCTGCGGCTCAACTAATTTAACACAGATAGGATAGCTCTTAATAGGATATTTATTAAGGTAAATAAATGGTGGCGAAGGTGTGGCTATTGGGGAGGCTGAGCCACGCTAAAGTAGTAGTAGTAGTAGTAATAGTAATAGTAGTATTAGTAGCAGCAGCAGTAGTAGTAATACAAGTAGTAACAACAGTACAATACAGCTAAAATAAATAACAAAACTCATGTCGTATTTGAAACAAAAGACAAAACCAATTTCTGAAGCATCCATGACAGCCACGAGTCAGAAACAAAAGACGAGTCAGAGAGCACAACAAAAGGCCTCTATGCCATCAGTTCTTTCATGAACCAATACCTTCACGAGTTGAGTTTAAGAGAGGGAAAGAGAGTTAAAACCTCTATAGGAATTTAGGGGGCCGGTGTCATCAAGGAGACGTTGTTGTTGATGAAGGCTTGACAGCTTGTGTTCACTGTCCTATATAGATGTGTTTTTTTATTACGAAGGAAGAGGCTGGAATGTA